GCAAGCTTGTAAACATTGCTTCCATGCGACAGCAGCTCTCACTGACAGTGTGACCTATAGAGTTAAACTCCTACGGATTACCTAAATAGCTAAAGTCCGTGGGAACCTGTACGAAACTAGTCAATTATCTCAGCGGAGAATTACGCTGGTGGTAACAATTGGCTAACTTTACTTCAGCGACTAAAAGTATGATGCATTGCGAAATATGGGAAGAAAATTCGACGAGGAAAGCAGCACTAACATACCTCGAAGTACAGCCAGCAAGACAGACCGATTTCAAACATTTCCAATCGCATTAACTGTTTAAACATAGGAAAAATCTCTGAAACGTATTTCGTCATTGGCCTTGACCGCTTGAAAAGCTGTGACAATAACAGATTCGCGTATGACATGAAATTGGCAATATTGTGTCGCGGTGTAACACTAAGCTTTCTTGTATCGGCCCCGCATAAGTTCTGAACTGCATGTTTAAAAGCTGCAAAACGATCTTCTTGTCCACTCTTCAAAGAAAGTGCATATTCGTGCAAATGAGTTTTGAATCGTTTATTCTCATTCGAAAAAATGCTTTGACTGTGTTTAAAAATAACTTACAGAACTAAAAGTCCAGTTTTTAAGCCAGTTATCTATTGTAACGTGATCAACATAGAAATGATGTGCGCAGTGATAACTTTCTTACAGAATACTGCATTTTAAATGCGATATACTCTTGTGGGTAGCATTATATATTTTTGCTAAACTGGAATGGTGGTGCTTTTAGTACACTGAATGGAGGAGAATAACTGCCAAACCTAAAAGCACAGATCTGGTTGCACTTTCATTTTCGTTCTCCTGAAATATGACAACAAAAGGAGCATGAACCACGTTTATTACCTGCTCTGAGTTCTCCAACTTCTGTACCTGCTTCTTCAAACTCGGAATCTGGAACTGTGCGAACTGTTGAAGCAGTTCTGCCGCCTCGGCCAAGTACACACTCTCCTTTTCGTACAGGTCGATTATCTCCTGCCAGTCGGTCATGCGTTGTGATGAGTAGCGGCCGAAAATGTTCTTCGAGTCTGATTCGGTGACGCGCAGAATTTCGACAATTCTCAGGCAATGGTAGTAGGTCAGATAAGTACCGGACAGCATGTCTCTGATCTCCGCATGCTCAGGCATATCCAGAATCGCTTTGCTGATCAACTGGCGAATTTTCATGACATGTTCTTGCCAACTGCGATTGCAGATCCGCCGGCTAATTAGCCAATCGAGAAGTTTCGCACAGTGAATATCGATCGCTATATCTTCATACATTTCAGTAACTGTTTCGCAGTTAGTTCATATATCGCATATCTAAAAAAAGTTACAGTCACAAAAGTAAACCTCCAACCGGCTAAACCATTAACTTAGTGCACAGTTTACATCTTTTACTGTAGCATTGATTCATATACGCTATGTAAAACTGATTCATACACAGGCAGATCTTAAAAGCAGAAATTTAATGGTCCGCCCATCATGGTGGTCAACAGATCTTCTGTTTCGCCTATACTCTCAATAATGCTGTACGGTAGTAAATTCACTCAAAATCACATCTGCAATAGGCAATATCTGCCTGTGAGCAAGCCTTCCCAAAGAGTGCACTACTTCCCTGAATCAGTTGGGCTGGAAGAAAGTTTGCAGACATTACCAATAATCCACAATAGAGAGTACCCTGAATGGACTGCCGAACAACAACCTCGATAATACAGCTGAGACACTGTCTTACTATATCGATTCCCATCTCTGTTACGGCAGCAGATCAGTGGTGTCCGATGAGTTCGTCACAACTTCAAAGTTCTAGATGCACACAAAAGTTAGGTCATACAGCCGCCTTACCGTGCTACTACTCAATAAGATAATATTATCAGCACCGTTCAGGTCAGCAAATAAGAAGTCGGATTAATTCAAGCTGAAAAATTCCTTTCGAATGCGATTATCGTTCTTACCAGAGTCAGCACAGTTGCCGAGAAAAAGCTGAAAACAACGTTGAATAGCAAAGGTGAAAGCACGCCTTCTTGGCGAACCCCAAAGTGAATAGAGAACAACTCAGGCATTTCTATGACGGCTGCACGAGACTACAACTGGTTGGTATTAAGATGGACGAAGTAGACGACTGGGAAGTAAGCTAACGAAGGAGACGCTGATCTTGAAGTTTAACCGTGGACTGGAGTAGCATCGGCAAACTTGGCAGGGTTCACGAAATATGGAAGTACTGAACCATAAGAAGATCACCATTTTATAAGTAGCCGTATTCGCGACACTGATGTACAGTCTGAAACACCCGTCGTCCTACAGTGTTATAAAACTAGTCTATACAGGTTCCAACATTATTGTCTGCGCAACATCCTAAAGGTGCGATGGTGTCACCCGAGCAAGAATGAACAGCGGTGTTGAAAAACTATCAGACGAACCTAGAGACAGGCGACTAGCCTGGTTTGACATAACGACGCTAAAAAAGAATAGGGATCTTTCCAACACTTTTTCCACGTGCGAACTGTCAACTGGTCGAAGACGAACTGCAGGACCATATAAAATGTGGAAGCACATCTTGGAGGTAAACCTGCCGGTGAAGAAGAATATTACATTTGCCACAGCAGTGAAAGTTGCTTAATATCTATGTGAAGTACCATTCGTAACAGTCAGACATCATAAACTAGGGAAAATGAACTATGTTGGCCTGAGATGACGATCAGAAAACAAAAACAATATTAGCAATATGTCGCTTCAAGGAATGCTGCATACGATTAATTTCAAATTTACCTGCTAAACATAATAAAACAGCGAAAATTTACCATTGAAGGCCTGTTAAGTCCAGATGGTGATCGTACACTTACAATATAGTTTGTCTATTAGGTTATAGATCGGCTGTTTTGCGTATAAATAATGTTTTGAACCGGGTTTCAAGAAACTGGTTAATATGAGCCCCTCCAATACTTGTGTCTAACACTGTGATAGACTCTATATTCATATTCATATTTATTCATATTTCTAAATATGTCTGATCGATATTTATTGTGCATCGTGCAACGAGCAAAGCAAATTGTCTGCCTAATCGACATAACTAATTGTGCCATATGACATACAGAATCGTGCCACAAATGTGATGCAAACTGCCAGTTTCCGTATTTAAATACCGAATGATCTGACAATCCGTTGTAAGAGTCTCGCTCGTTGTGAGTCGTCCGGAATTCATCTTTTCTGTCAATCAATCAGAAAGTTTCTTACATAAAAGTTAGAGAAAGAATTCCGCAAAACGTTCAACAGTCATATCGCTTTCTGCAGAAAATTACAACTACAGCAGCCATGACCGATCTATGCGAATAGCAATAAAGATCGTAACACTGGAAGATGGCGACTTCTCAATCTTGATGTACAGCCTTGAAACATCAATCCTTTAAAAGCGCCATGAAAAGACTTTGGACAACGCTGCCTGCAGAAGATAGTGAAATTGCGATGGTTCCACGAAGCGAAGAACGAAAAGATCTTGAAGATCACCTGCCTGAAAATGCTGCATGAAGAAATTATGGATCGGCATTTGTGCTGGTTGGAGAGAACTGTGGAGAGAGAGACAGAGAATGGAGACTTACCCAAAATCATTATCCTCTGGGAAGCAAAAAATTGTCATATACGGTCGAAGATCAATATCATACCATTAAACAGCTGCTAGAGACGAACTACGATACTTACCGCAACAAACAAACTTCGACTACATCGTTCAGATAAATCAAAGTGCCAGACATCATTAATCTGCATATTCGTTCTTTGACCCTGATACCTCAAATGACAATGACATGAATAACAAAAACAGCCACAAACTAAAATAATACTATGGCAAAGGCAAACATAACAATCAGCTAATGATAATCGTAGTACTTTGGATTACACGTTGTACTGATTTGTCACACTAGAGAGAAGCATCAGACGAGTCAAGACGAAGAGCAGTAACAACAGGTGCTTGCATCGGATAGCATGGCCGTGCATCCCGTGTGCTGTTGTATGATTACACCAGAATACCATGCTGTTTCTCTTGTTCGTAATTCAACTTCTTGCCTCCGATTTGTTCGCTTTATTTGCTCGAACAACAAGGGGAAAATTACTAGCAAAATTTACCGGTTAAGGCAGACTTTTTCCTTTTTTGCTTTATCCTATTTTCAACGGTTAAGTTATGCTAAGAAAGAATCTAGGGTGATTCGAAACGATGGCAACGGTATACATAAAATCTGAATGCGGAATTATTACGTTCAAGAACTTATATCCTACGATCCTTAGTGCTGCACAGATTTCTGTCCTGATGTGAATTATATCCAAATATAAAGATTATTTGAATAAAAACAAGTCAAACAGATTCAGCCTTTTCCGTTAATCAATCTCAAGAGTCAAAACCATCTACCGGATCACCGACATTCTGCATGCCCCACTCCCTGAAGAGATGCAGACATATTCCGGACAGTCGTGCAATCAGAATAGTCATTTTAAAAAATCAACGGGCAGAAGCGGAGAAAACAGCTTACAATGCACTTTTTACAGATTTACATACAATTAGTTTTATAATCTGATTCACCGGGCTGTCTTGGATATTCATGT